ATATTTGGCTGATACCCACAATCATGGGCTGGAACGATAGCACAGTGGGTAGGGCATTTACCTTGCACATGGCCGACCTGGCCAACCCAGGTTCAATTCCTCCGCCCCTCTCAGAGAGCCCGGCAAACTACTGAGAGCATCTCACCTGCACGGCAAAGCCTGGCAAGCTACCCGTGATGTATTCGATATGCCAAACACAGTAACTAGTGTCACAACAGACACGTTACTGGGCCTGCTTGAGCAAAAATTGATGAACAATGGGAAGACAGTGACAGTGACCCACATTCATAAGGGTCTCATGGGGATCGCTATACAATAACTACCTTAAAATACTACTGAAGAGGTGTGTAAAATCTTATCACGCCGAAGGTTGTGTATTCACAGGCTCACTGGATGGCTCTTTCTCACTGCCAGCGTTCAGTGCTCTTGAGCCCTGTGTGTGGCCTGCATCAGGACGGCTGTTCTTTCTCCCAAGCTTGGACCCTTCCCACTCTGATTCTCCCTTCCCGGAGCTTACAGTCTTAGTTTATATAGCAATCACGTAAGGCGGTGACATAAAGGTGGGTTGAATATTGACAAATCAACAAAGAGAGGTAAAACCACTCCTCTAGGATATTAACTTAAGGATAAAATCTCCTCTAAAGAGATTATTCCAGATTACTAAGAGATCCACTCAAGGGTGGGATCCCAACAAGGGTGTGTTCTTCCCTCAGTTAGTAATCTACTTAAATAGTTGTAATAAATCTACTTCTAATATTTCTAGCAATGTCATTCTATGAGCACAGTAAGAGATATAAACTTAGTTTGCTTCTTCCTGAGAACATTTCACTATACATTCCGCAGTCCTCAGGCCAGGTTAATCTTCCTAGCTCCAGCAGGGTCCTAGTCTCGTCGTTACTTACTTTTAGATCTTGACAGCATTTGTCCATGATCATGCCCTCAACTTATAGTTGAGTATTGTGACGCTTTGGCCTGGCCCATTTCAATGCCAGGGTAGCTCACAGATTGCCCTGAGTCCATTCAATCCCTCGTCGGGACCCTGCTTTTGGGGTGCTAGGAACTAAGGGCAACTGAGTCAAGAAAGCAGATGCCCAAGAGTAAATATTATTCAGAGTCAATCAACTCCCACAGAGCATAATACTGTCTTCCTGTGTCCATACAGAAAGGACACTGCTTACAATACAAGTTCAGTGTCCTTAGATGGGTGTGACCCGATATACCTAAGTTACCTGAGGAAGGACAAAACAGTGTTATCCTACAGAGGTGAGGGAGTAACATTTTTTCCTAAAACAAAGTTACATCCATTATTTAAAGCACACAAACACGACATTACAGAAACTTGACCACTGATAGCATAATACCTTTGGGCCACCATTCTTTAACTGAATTCTTCCCAAATAATACCTTCTGGGTCTTTCTCCAAACACACACATTTTAAAAGTCAGAAAGTTTTCACCCCTGTCACTCTCATGTGAAAAGCAGCAGAATGCAAAAAGGTTGGTCCAAGTTAATTTCTTGGGCTTCATCATTCAGCCTGAATCTGTCAGTGCTGCCAGACCTCAGAACCTTGAGGGATATTTGCGGCCTGGCTACACATCTTCCACTCGTCCCCCTGTTACCATCATGCTTAAAGGGAGCTGTCATCCTTGATCATGCACACAGACTGTGACATGGGGGCAGAACAAGTCTTCCGATCGACACTACCACCACAACCTCTGTCTGTGGGTCTGTGGGAGTCGCTTCAAGATGAGCTGCCAAATCATGTGCTCTCCAACTTGCTGCTAGTCCCTTTTGGTGGCTCACAGAATGAGACTGAAACAAGAAGAGTTCTCCCCTCTTGTTGTCAAAACAAAACAAAACCAAATTCTCACGAGTGACAAGTATGTAAAGGGATGTGGGGAGAGAAGGAACAGCCCCACCTGAAGAGTTCATTTTAGGAGAGAAGGTGGCAGCACACGCAGCAGGCACAAGAGCTGACAGAGCAGCAGCGGCTCTCAGCGCTCTGCACAGCGGGGCCCACGGGGTCATAAAATTCCTGCGTGAATGACTGTAAGTGCCGTTTAAATATTCTCTCTCACAAAAAGTGGCTTTAAGTGGAACCAAAGTGGCGTCCACGGCGGGGCCAACTGGAGTGGGACTTGTGCAGATGGTGGGTTCCAAAGCTGATGGAGCTACTAGAGAGATGGGCAGCAGGCAGCAGGAGTTTGGCGTGAAGGAACAGGGCTCTTCAAGCGCAACCTGGCACTTGGGAATTGAGGGGCGCCCAGGTTCTCACCATGGGAAGCAGGCTCAGGCACTTGCCGCCGGCCCACCCAAAGCGCCCAAGCCGCAAATGGTAGCAGCCCTGGTGTCAGACCTGGTCCCTGCCAGGGCTATGGCTACCATCACCACTGGGGCCCAGAGGGTGCAGCACCATCAGCGGATCAGCGTGGACACAGGGGGCAAGGGCATCAGCAGCCTGATGGAGCCCTTGGTCTTCCAGCCACCTCAAAATCCCACTATGCCTCTGGCCAGACTCCAACAACCTGGGACCAACTTTTCTGAGAAACTAAACAGCAGAAGTTAGGTATGTGGGAGCCACAGCCACAAACGACGTCCAGCTCAGCCGTACAACCTCACTTATTGGCCCTGCCGTAGAGACCCATAAATAAATCTGGAAGCGATCAAAAGCCGCTGTTAATCTCAGACCCATGCAAGGCTGAATAGACTGGGGTAGATCGAAGGGGGTTCGGTTTGCCTGGTGCCCGCCCAAGCAGAGTCCCCAGCAGGACTCCATCTCAGGGGGGTTAGAGGATACTGGTTGTGGGAAATGTACTCTTGGTGGAGGGATAGTTATTGAACATTGTATGAATGAAACCCAATCACGAACAGCTTTGTAATGGTCTATCTAATGGTGAATTAATAAAAAAATTAAAAAAAACAAACAAAAAAATTTTTTGGCCTGAGGCCTCTCCTCCTACAGATTAGCAACCAGTTTAGTACCAGCACCAACTACCAGATTTTCACATCTGGCCCCTTGGAATATCCTGGGGTCCCAAAGAGGGCGCTGTAGGGATACTGTTGGGCCCCTGTTGGCCCTACTTGAGAAATGCTGACTTAGAGAACTGCCTCAAAGAAACAATTAATCTGGAAAGCCTACACAGCTTGCCCCCTTTATTTCCTAGCCGGCAAGCATCAAAACCAAATACATATATCAATTTACAGGAACTAACAGAAGACGCATATGAAGTAGAAGCAGGCTCAAACATAAAAACAACTGCTTGTAGCTTATACCACCATGAAAGATAAAGCACACGCTAAGTCAACTAGTGCCAAAAAAGAACCATATTTAATAACACACAAACATGCATCAACAATCAGATGCAAAAAAAAAAGTAACAGGGCTTTGTCTGGGTTCCAGATTGTATCTTTCATTTTACAAATTTATATGCAAAAATGAGTGCTTCTTAATAAATTTTACTTTACTTTTTTTTTATTTTTTATTTTTATTTATTTTAGCACAGCGGGTAGGGCGTTCGCCTTACAAGCGGCCAACATGGCCGACCCGAGTTCGATTCCTCCGCCCCTCTCGGAGAGCCCGGCAAGCTACCGAGAGTATTCGATATGCCAGACACAGTAACAACAAAGTCTCCAATGGAGACGTTACTGGGCCCGCTCGAGCAAATCGACGATCAACGGGAGGGCCTTTACCTTCACCTTTTATTTTTTAAGCAAATTTTATTTGATCACTATGAGATGAAGTTACAAACTTTCATGATTATGTTTTAGTGATACAGTGACTAAGCACCCATACCTCCAACAGTGCATATTTTCTACCACCGTTGTTCCCTGTGTCCCTGTGGAAGATATTAATTTTTTTTTGGTGTGCAATGTTCATAAATATCCAAATGTTTCATTGAATTTGTTTCATTGAATTTAAATCTGTCTCACTACGGTGCCTAAAATATCTAAGGCATAACAGTTCACATCTACCTTTCAAAAAAATTTGCTGAATACACCACCCAATTAGCAGTCAGGGTACATATACTGTAGCCCTTAAGTGGTATTTAATACTGAATATAAGCATCCTTTCATCTTTGATTCTACAGCAACTACTTCCCATTTCAGAATTATAGTCTGAGTTATCTGTAACTTACTTTCTTGCTCTGTAAGCATGATGGCCATTACAAAAAAAAAAAAATCAATGACAAAGAACAACAGGAACTTACTCATGGCAGTCAGATCTAACTCAAGAAACAATTCATTGTGCTGTGCCACCTATCACAGCACAATGAGGTAAAACGTGAGAAATGATATATAATACTAGGTCCTCATTCCAGGCATTCATTTCTATTAAGTGACCTCAGAACGCAGAAGTTGAACCTTTCTCAGTTATCAAATACGACAGATAAAATGGTGTTTACAACTACACATATGAGGTAAACTATACATATATACTTGTGCTCAATTTTTTGTTTACAGAGCACAATGAAGGTAGAAGGATAAGAATGTTTTCCCCTAGATTCTTAGTTTTTTTTTTTAAATTTTTATTAGTGACAAACCAAGACGTACAGTTGTAGACTTACAAATTTTTGTGCTTGGGTTTCAATTATACAATGATTAAGTACCTAATAGCTGACTTGAAGTAATCAGTGCTTTTAGAGATACCTATTATCGAGTTAGGTTCACATAGGTTGCCCACCAAATATAAAGGTGATATAGTTTAAAATTCAATCAAATCTGATTCAGATTCAACCCTATCCTATATTTTTATGGAAAAATAATGGGAAAAGGTGTCGAGTAGAGTAGAGCAAAGACCAATATAAGGTATCTTATATGTTTTTTAATTCTATGTCAAAGAGGAAACAGAGGAACACCAGAAAGCAAATGACAGACAGATATTTGAGATAAAAGTATGAACATCATGACACAAAAATAAATGCAAACTGTAGAAGGAAATTAAGAACATTTAAATGTACTTTATAAATGTTCATTTGTCTCATGAAAATGTAAGTTTTTACCTTTATTTGTCTCTGGTGAGCTTCTCTTCTGGCTTCCCTCTCTTTCAATCTTTTTTCCTAAAGGAAGAGTGCAAAAATTATTAAGATATAAACTTAATATTATTAAGTAAATCAAACCATTCATAACAGGCTGTTTTTTTGTTTGTTTTTTTTAGAAAATTGAAACATACCATACATCTATCAACAAATCCAGTATGGAACTAGCTTAAGTACTGATAGCAAAGGAGTCCCAAACATACGGATCTGGAAACAAATTCCAGTTCTACTTATTAGCTGTGCAATTTAGAGCTACTTATATTCTCTAACTCTCTTGGATATTACAAGAACACACATTTCATAAAGTTGGAAAAAAGTGATGAAAATAACCTATAATATAAGACATAAATACCTAGCATAATGATTCATATACGAGTAGTAAACAATCTATGTAAGCTAAAAAAAGTAAGAATAAAAAAATCACAGTAATATATATATTTCCTTTTTCTTCTGTCTAAAAGCAGAATTTAGAAAGTATATAAAATCCTCATCCCTGAGTTTTTACAACCCAAAAATGTTTCCTAAAAAAAAGATATTATAAAGCTTGCTATCTTATTAACTTCTTTATAATTTTACTGTTTTTCCTTGATCATAATTGATAGAAAAATGCACCTGTAAATTATTTAAATAAAAAATATGTACAATATTTAAAACAAAAGAACCCAGCTAAAGTCAAAAAGAATTTTGCTTTAAATCTAAAAATCTTTTCCTCTGTAAAAACATATTTTTAAAAAATAGGTATTATTCAATCCAAAGTTTACAGCTCACCACATTTTCTTAATTTAAAGAACTACAGGGTTAGCGCAAAAAGTGAACAAATAATCATCATGAAGAAAACAAAACTGTATGGTGGAGGGATGGATGTTGGGATACTGTTTAGTGCTTTTTCAGTATATTTATAACTGAAATCTAATTATGAACAGCTTCGTAAGGGTCTATGTCACAGTGATCCAATAAAAAACTTTAAAAAAACTATGACTCACCATTGATTTAAACAACCACTAACATGAGAATTAACAAGCACCCCTCCCTAAAATTAACAAGTTTTTAAATCTAAGCTCTTATCATAACTATTAGTCTTTCTAATCCATCTCAAGATTCAAAAATCAAATCCAATGCATACTCTAAAGACATTATTTTAGGCTGTTCTGTGGCTTGCAGCATTTAAGGCTAGGAAATTATTAACATATCTCATCTAGCTTCATAGACATCTTTCTTATAAAGTGAGGTATAAGTTTCACAAGTTTGAAATGAAAGAAGGCTAAATGCTAAGTAATGCAATGAGGAGGAAATCTAATACGGCTCATACAGTCAATGTCTACAGCTTCAAATTATACAGTAAGGAGGTTAAATTCTAAGTGAAACAAAACTTCATATTCCAGTGGCAAATGTGAACGTGCCATGCCCCTAAGTTATACATGATGTTACATTATTCATTTCTGTAATTACAATTCTCTCCCTACCTAGTTTTGAAATGACTGGGTATTATACTCTGACTTCAAACAAAATATACAAGTGAAAGGGCAAGTAAAACTTAAATAATGAGCAATCACTTACACAAAGAAATGCAAAGATGACTTAGATATTTAAAGACCGAGGTCAGAGGAAAAGGAAAGCATACACAAAAACTCAGAGGAAGGTTTCAACTTGTTCCTCGCTGAAGTGCTTAAATGACAGACTGCTCTCAAATCTCGGTCTTTGTACACCAAGTCTAGTGCTTTTTTCCCCTAGTAAGTTCTAATGACAAGAAAAATGTCAGGATGTTGAGGCTTTATGGATGGTACATTAGTAACAAGTATTGTCAATAAAGACTAGGACGATTTTAATCAGCAGTGAATTTCTATCAATTTATTCATAAATACTTACAAAACTATATCCCTGAATTGGCTCTCTACTGATTGGTTCTGTTACTGAAACAAAATAATCTCAGCATTTCCTTAACTTGTGGAAAATAGGAAATGTTAGTGCATGTCAGTTTCTAAACATTTGCACTCAAATTTTTCCTAAAATTTAGTACCAGTCACTGATTTCTATGAACATCTGTGGACCTACAAAATAAACCGAAGCAAGAAAATAATCAGAGGAAAATTTTAAATATCTGACCATAATTATGCCTTAGTGGATACATATATTCGTAATTTTTGTCTCTACTCTTTGAAACACTGTAAAATAAGAAAAAAAAAGTTGTCACGTTTCAGCAGGTAAAAGTAGCACAGAAATATTCTGCATTATTCTACAAAGACCATGATGACCTTCTAGTATGCTGCATAAACTACTTTAAAACTAAAGGTATATAAAACATCAAGTAACTCCCTGAATTATAAAACTGAGATTATCAAGCAGGGGCCAAGGGAAAGGGAGGAACAAAGAGGCAGACTAGAAGTAACATATGAATATTGGTGGAGGGTAATGAGCACTTTGGTGACTATACCTCAAAACCGTAAGTGTTGGGACCTACTACTGCTGGGACCAGACAGACAGTGTAGCAGCTAGAGCAGTTGCCTTCCACATGACCAACCGAGTTTCAATCCACAATACTGCATAAGGGGCCCCAAGTACCGGCAGGAATGACCTCGGAACACAGAACAAGGAGCAAGTTCTGAACACAACTGAATGTGGCCCCCAATACAAAAAATACAATTGTAAACATAGTAGCTTATATTACTACAGTTCCTTAAATTACAGTAAAAGGGAAATAAATAAAACTATAGCCAAAGTAATTAAATTTAACAGAGATGAGCAGTGTTAAAGGGAAGAGCTAATTTTTTTTAAATCAATAGAATAAATTATACTTTTATAAGCTCTTACCTATATTATTATTTTCTTATAATAGCTCTGATTATTAGCAGTATGCTTTTCATTTTACAGATTTTTTTAAACATCTGTAACAAAAATTGATGCATTATTTTTCGTGTTTTTCTTTTTTGGGGGGGAAATCAGCAGTATTTGGGGCTTACCCCTAGCTCTGGACTCAGGGATCAATCCTGGTGGGGCTTGAGGACCAGTAAGGAGTGCCAGAGATCAAACCAGGTCAGCCATGTTCAAGACTGTACAATCTCGCTAACCCTTATTCTAGTCTTTTAGATGAAAAAAATAACTGAATAAACAACTGGTCTGGTGTCAGTCAGACAGTAAGTGATAACCCTAAGGCTAAAACCAAGTATGTGACGTCAACTCCTTCCCTCTCTCTCCAGCACATTTCTATCCCTTTCTCCTGTACTTAAAACCGTATTTAACTATGCACATTCCTACACAGCATTCTTAATGTATGGATATGTTTTATAGGGATATACCATTTCTTCTTATTTCTAACAATGGCCTGCTACTCTATGTGCCTTTCCATCCCATTGTTTCCTGTGCATATTAATTAATTTTCAACAGTCTCCTATATAGAAGAAAAAGAGGATAATTAACATCCAACAGTTACGCAAATGTCTGTTGCAATTATTCAGTATCTGGCCGGCTCCCAACATGTCAGAGTACTGTAAATGACATTTCAAAGTTCCCCAGAATCACCTGATATTCATATGAGAAAATCCCTGTATAGAGATGTAAACAAGCTCTTTTCTGGGGCTCTTCATCTAATCATATATACATAAATCAGAACAACAACAAAAATGTTTTCCACTACTACTTAATTCAAAAAAGTGGGCTCAGATCTGTCCCTAACACCAAGTACAAAAGAAAGATCAAAATGGATTAAAGACCTCAACATCAGACTGGAATTCATAAGGTACATTGAAGACCAAGTTGGCAAAACCCTCCATGACATTGAAGCTAATGATATCTTCAAAGATGTCACGCCACTGGCCAAGCAAGTGGAAACAGAGATAGACAAATGGGACTATCTTAAACTAAGAAGCTTCTGCACCTCCAAAGAAACAGTGACCAAAATACAAAGACCGCTTACAGAATGGGAAAGTATATTTGCCGACAAGGGGTTGATATCAAGGATATACAAAGTACTGGTTGAACTCCACAAGAAGAAAACATCCAACCCCATCAAAAAATGGGGCGACGAAATGAACAGAAACTTTCTCAAAGAAGAAATCCGAATGGCTAAAAGGCACATGAGAAAATGCTCTACATCATTAATCATCAGGGAGATGCAGATCAAAACCACAATGAGATATCATTTCATACAACAGAGACAGGACCACATCCAAAAGAACAAAAGCAACCGGTGCTGGCGCGGATGTGGCGAGAAAGGGACCCTCCTTCACTGCTGGTGGGAATGCCAACTGCTTCAGCCGTTTTGGAAAACAGTATGGACGATTCTCAAAGAATTAGAAATTGAGCTTCCATTTGATCGAGCAATACCACTCCTGGAAATATAACCCAGAGAGGCGAAAAAGTATAGTTGAAGTGACATCTGCACTTGTTTGTTCATTACAGCACTCTTTACAATAGCCATAATCTGGAAAAAACCTGAGTGCCCGAGAACAGATGACTGGTTAAAGAAACTTTGGTACATTTACACAATGAAGTACTACGTAGCTGTTAGAAACGATGAAGTCATGAAATTTACATACAAGTGGTACTACATGGAAAGTATCATGTTAAGTGAAATGAGTCAGAAAGATAGGGATAGACATAGAAAGATTGCATTCATCTGGGGAACATAAAGTAACAAAATAGGAAACTAACTAAACACCCAGTAACAGCCAAGATAAATACCAGGAATTTTGCTCCATGGCTTGGAGGCCAGCCACACATGCTAGGGGAAACGGGAGCTCAGATAGAGAAGGGAGCACCAAAAAAAGAGTGTTGGGAGGATCCTCCCAGGATGGGAGAAGCATGCTGAAAGTAGACTATAGACCAAACATGATTGCCACTCAATGCCTCTTTTGCAAACCACAACAACCAAAAGGAGAGAGAGAACAAAAGGGAATGCCCTGCCACAGAGGCAGGGTGGGATGGGGGGGATGGGGGGTAGGAGGGATACTGGAACCCGTGGTGGTGGAAAATGGGCACTGGTGGAGGGATGGGTACTTGATCATTATATAACTGAAACCCAAGCA